ACGCAAACCATATTTTTTAAGTAAAAAACCGTCACTGCAATGAAGAGGCGGTTTTGTGCAAAATAACTTAAATATGATTTAGAATAATAAATACATTTCAAAGGTACAATAAAAATCAGTTTTATAAATATTTTTTTTAATGGGAATTACTGACTTTTAGTAGTATTCATAATTCATTCAGTTTTATATAAGCACAGTCGTTGTATATATGATTTACAGATATTTGATGGGTAGTTATAATTTTTTAACAAGTAATTACGAAGATTCAATTTAAATCTACACTTTTCAAAAACCTGGGGTAATTCGAAACAAAAAATCTAAATCCGGTGGAAATGCGGGACTGTCCTGGCCAAACCGAGATGTATGGTTACCTTGGAAATAGAATGACTTCAAAATTATAAAACTAACTTCAGATACAAAAATATCGTATACAAACAGATGCCAGAAAAGGTTATGCATTTAGAGTGGGAGACCATTGGAGAGTGCACCAAGATATGAATTAGAATGAGAAATCGCTCGATCTTCCCCGGTCTCCTGTAGCCGCGGCGATCGATTTCACTCCGACATTGGCGGTCGGCGGTCGGCGGTCGTTATTCGACAGGAAATATCATTTAATTGCGTGTTTTTGCAGCAGTGATTTCTCGATGCACGCTCAATGATATATTGTATTTCTTCACGGAAACGTAATGGCTAATCGGTACGAGTACATTTACCAATGCAACTGCACGTAATTTATAATTAAGATGCAAATGCTAGAGATTGAGATGAACGGTTAGAAAAACGACATAGTACGAATCGAGAGGAGATCCAATGATACTGCACATTGTAAAGTAATGGTAATTTGTATCGTGAGTTTTTGCTGTTATGTGCGATGCGGTTCTCTGATCTCGAGCGATTTTATTTTTATCTTTGATTACTTATGCAAAGATGCGCATCACGATATCTACTTTTATTTGGATTTTACGAGCATTTCAATTAATTATACATTTCGTGCTTTTGTTTTAATATAGAAACTATCAAAGCAAATACTCATCTGGGTTATTGTGTACAAGCATCATTATAAAAAAAGGTAAAATCAAACAAACAGAAAGATACATTGTCGAACAATATTTTTGCATGAACTGTAGTATGAAGTAAATTCATAGTGAAGCAATAATATATGCTTATCATACGTCTTTCATCATCGATTAAGATTGTACATTCTTTAGTATGTCTGTATCAAATCTGCAATTGCTGCTTATTTACTTATCCATAAACTAATCGGGAGCTTATAGTAATATTAAATAAAAAATATTACTTCAAACTTTTGTCAAAATTTATCGTAATCAGTGAGATTCATTCATAATTTCAGTCATTTTTATTACTGTTAAAGAACGAGATTCATAACAAATTTAACTACAAAATAATATAGTTACAAAAAATGATATAGAAGCTTAAAGGTTTACGGGTAAAACGGTCCAACGCCGGTAGCTCAAAAGTAAGTAAAGTTAAGAATTTTTTAACAACAATATTTGAAAATAAAAGGTAAAAAATATATAACCAGCCAACACCTTAATTCTTGCGACATTGCTATCGGGATAAAATGGTAATTTTTAAAAATACATAACAAAGGAATTTTATTTCGTTGTTAGTTTTATTTGTAGTGAGCACTGTTGTTTAATTTGACCTCAATATAATTTTTAAGTAAACGTTATTCATTTGTTTTACAAGACGTATTGTTAATTTTAAGTAAGATTCACCTTTTTTTTATATAACCTGTATGAGTGTTACACGTTTACCCTGGCAAAGGTGTAAACAATAAAAAATAGTAAATAATAAAGTGAATTAAGTATTTACGATAAAGTTATTAGTATTTTACAAGAGATAAACTAAATAAATAGTTATTCCAACTCTGACAAAATATTATATCACGTTGATATACAGTGTTATATTTGCATTGCATTGGTAAATTTATTATGCTATTATTTTGCAGAATCTCTTTTAGAATTTCAAATCTCCTATAGGATAAAAAGGGACAAATGACCAATTTTAGAAAAATAGTAAAAAACATAATTCTATAATTACAAATTAACTGAATATAGTACAATAGTTGTTTGTTTGATACGTGTTATGTGTTGTGCTGTAGTTCATTTCGATTGGACTGTATAATTATTTAAAGTCAAATTGGACTTTTGAGACCCGCCTTACCCCAAACAAACAACATAAATTTAAATTAATTTTTGTGTTATAAATTCTCGTTTTTATACAGTATTATACACTTCATAAAATTATTTGTAAATCAAGCGTATTTGATTACGTAACGAAGGAGTGCTAATTTTAATGCGTTAATATTATTCATTAAAATATTTAGAAGAAACGATAATACTATTGATCGGAAAGTTCTAAGACATAATGCCATATACTACTAGGTAGAGTAGTTCAAGTATTCATATTACTATAACTTGATCTTGCGTAAGGTAATTATAGAACGTGAGCTTTATTATTCCATCGATCTTTACGCCTGTGTCGATGTCGATACTCGGCGACCGCACCGACTATACCGCAAGGAAACCTTATACCGAAAAAAAAAGCCTCAACGACTCACGTATTTACGAAATCTATCTTGTAATTTGAAACCGGAAATTCGCAACACTATCATCGTTTCCTTCTAAACTTTCCTCTCGTGCCGTTATATAAACTCTGAACCCGTAAAATAATGACCTTATTCGATGGCGCGCGAATACTCTCTAAGCCAATAACATTCGCTAGAAATCTACTATAATACAGTAAATCGAAAAAATAATGTGATTTTTTCCTAATATTTGTCAATTTGAACAAACTTTCTTGTGTTACTGAGTAGTTTAAATAGGTAACTTGATTAATAGTAAAAAAAATCACACCTGGGGTTTGTTGAAACAAAACCTTGGGCCTTAATTGTAACATACAAGAATTATATGGACATTCAAGTGAAAAATATTAAATGGAATGCATATCTTGTAAGATGTAATCACATGTGCATTGTGTTACAGGACACACCATAATCTTTTATTTGTAGCTTACATTGATTATTTTCTTCGTATGAAAAGAACTACTTACATTAGTAACATGTTAATTTTACCTGCAGGGTGAGTTATAGTAATGGTAAAAAAATCGAAATTATTTTTTTTACATATCTTTATGTTTCGAAGGTTTCTGGACATCTTGGCATACCTTAGAAAAAATTGATGTATATGTGTGTGTGTGTTCGGATTTTTGTCGATGATATCGAGAACGCGAATCAATCGATTTGAATATTTTAAAAACCATTCAATTCGTATTGATGGGAGACGTGTTAATTAGATTAGATTGACAAGCAGGTTCAACTGTTTAGGAGATACGAAGCAAAAAGTGCAAAACTTGCAGTTTTTGAGAGAAACGAGCATCCGTTTAAATTAAAATGATTCTAAAAAACATTCTGCTTACGTTGATGGTGGCGTGAAAGAACTAGTGCATGGCATCGTGCCTTACAATTAGGCAAATTGTTGGAACTTCCCGTACCGTAATTAAAATTTTTTAAAAGCTTTCAATTTTTCGAAAACATTGAAAAATTAATATTTGTGAAAATTTTGAATTTTTTTAAAACAAATTACTTTATTGAAATAAAAGTTTTTTGTATACTATTTTTTTAAAGATTTAGATTTAATTAAATCAATCGCGCTGCGTAGCTGTTTCAGAGACAAAATATTGAAGCGTGTAAGCGCTGCATAGCAGTCAGAGGGTTAATCATAATAAATCTTGGTATACAATCCATAAAAGTGTAAAAAATTACTTTTATTAAGATATATATATATATATATATATATATATATATACGATATGTATATATATATATATATACTCGTATATATATATATATATATATATATATATATATATATGCTGAACCTGCTTACTTAAAAAAACAAATAATTAACTTCCCGTAGGGTAAGTTATAGTAATCGCAAAAAAGTCTAAAATAAAAATCTTCATATATCTTTACGTCTCAAGGCCTTCTGGACATTTTGCCATACCTGTAAAAAAGTATGTAGTGGAGGTATCAACAAGTTGCCCTAAGGTACGAAGTCATGAACCACTATTTTCTGTTTTTTACTTCATCCATCAATACACAACTTAAATAACCAGTACCAAATCGATCTTTTTCGAGATGATAATTCCATTCAATTGCATTCCTGTGTGTGCTCCGATTTCTGGCGCCGAGCGGGGTGGCTGTGTCTTCGCCTGCGCGCGTCTGTTTTTCCGCATCTCCGTCCCTCCGGCCGACGCGGGACGGAAAATCCGCACACAGACGATCACTCGACTCTCCCGCGGTCGATCGAGCGCCCGACCAATGGCGCGGAGCGGCGAATCGAACGATGGCTGCTGCCGTCGGACATGGGACATGGATCATATGTCCGACGGTGTCTCGTTTGCAGCAAATTAGCGACACTATGAGATAGACCAATTGTATGACAAGTCTGTGTTTCATTCCAGTTTTCATATAAAATGCTACTAAATACTGTCAAAATGCAATGTATTTGCTGAGCGATCTGGCGTTTTACACATAAAAAGCAAATTCACTCATATGTTATCAAGCTATATCTCAAAGATGCGTTTCATATCTAAAACGCCTGACTGCACAGCAACCACATGAAATTTTGACACTTTTTAGACCAGTGGTCGGGGAACTTTTGGAACCATTACCCCAAAATGTTTTTGTGCGACCTCTCATTACCCCAGAAAAAAACACGACTTAATCAAAGAAGTATAATTAGAATCTGTTTGCCAAATATTGCTGTATGCCAAAACCTGTAAGTTAAAGGTTTTGCTACATTGTTTGTTACTTCTAAACTTCGAAAAAAGCTGAAACAAATGGTTTAAAGGAAACAACTGAAAACTATATTTTTTATATTATATTTCTTATGAAAACTCTATTAATACATGAATAAACAATAAGTACAATGAATTTTACATGAAGTAACAATAAACACGCACACATTCTTACATCACGATTTTGAGAAATGATGTTGCTTCATTTTTGACAGTATTTGTTCAAAATTGGGATTTTTACATGTCAAAGCGATTTTAATGCAATCTTCAGCATTTAGTCTATTTCTACTTCTCGATTTAATGTTTACCAGACTGGAAAAGCCTTGTTCGCACAAGTATGTGGTTCCAAATGGCAGCAATTTTTTTACCGCCTCTTCATGTGCTATTTCAAAACCCTTTGCAGCTTTTGACATCCAAAAACATGACAGGTTTTGTTTATTATCAAATTTAATATGAGCTTCGGTATTGGATCGAAGTTCTAAAATCGATTCAGCCAAACCTGCAGGTTGTTCTGGTATCATAGAAATGTCACATTTGAAAGGATCTATAACCCAACTCACGAAACGTGTATTCAGATCTGGAAAGTAATCCAAAAACCGCTCTCTCAGTTTAATAAGATGTCTTACAATTGTATCTTTGATATCAACTAAAGTAATATTTTCAGAAATTTCCAAAATCAAAGCTAACTTTGGAAAAGATGCTATCTTGTTTTGTTCTAACTTCTGCTTCCAATACTCCAGCTTTAACCCAAATGCTGACAATATTTCTCTTGCTGAAATAATATTACAATGCTTTCCCTGTAATTCTTTGTTCAATAAATTTATGCTTTCAAATATGTCTGCCAAATATGCAAGATATGCAATCCAGGAAGAGTTATTAAAATGTTCTGCAAGAATATTTTTTTGAGAAACCAAAAACATTTCAACTTCATTTTTGAGAGTCCATACTCGATTTAAAACATTTCCGCGAGAGAGCCACCTCACTTCTGTATGATAAAGGAGGTCTGTATACTCAGCTTCACCATCTTGACACAATTCACGAAATAGCCGCGTATTTAGTGCATGCCCCTTGATAAAGTTTATAATCTTGATAACATCGTGCATGACGGCTTCTAGTGTAGGTTCTAAATATTTTACCATAAGGGCCTGGCGATGAATCATGCAATGAGTAATTTCGATAGTTGGGTTATTTTTCCTTACAAAGGCTGAAAAACCATTAATATGACCCAACATAGCTGGAGCTCCATCCAAAGATACCGAAATACAATTTTCCCATTTTAAGCATTGCGCTTTGAAGTAATCGTTGACCTTATTATAAATATCTATTCCACGACATCTCAACTCGAGAGGAGAGCAAAACAGCAATTCCTCTTCAAAATTATCCACACCTTTGTATCGAACATATACCATCAGTCGTGAATTACTACTGAAATCCGTTGTCTCATCTAGCTGAATAGCAAAATATTTTGCCTGTCTTAATGCAAAAATTACTTGCTCATTCACATTTTCTGCTAATACAGAAATTCTCTCTTTCACAAGTCTCGCAGACAACGGCACTGAGTTTAGTTTCTTCGCTTCCTTTTGACCACACATAATCTCTACCATTTTGACAGCAGCTGGTTTAACCAAGTCTTCACCGATAGTGTATGGTTTTTTATTTCGAGCGATTAACCAAGCTAGTTCCAAGCTAGCCCTTGATGCTGAACTCTGATCAAAGTTACCATACAAGTTGCAATTCAATCTTTGTCTTTTAATGGATATCTCCAAATTTGCGAAGTATTCTCGCGGTTTAGAACTTAGTTGCGAATGAACATTATCTAAATGTTTTTTTAATTGACTTTTTTTGAAAGATTCTGGTCTCAGTACCTTCATACACACAACACACTGTGGTTTCATTGTACCATTGTCCTCTATTTGGGTAAAACCGTAATTAAGGAATTCCTCTTGGTATGTTCTTCTTCTATTTTCTGTCATCTGAAGAAAATAAAAAATATGTGTAATACAAAAATACTAGAATACATGAATACTAAAATACTAGAATACGTGAATACAACAATACTCGCATATTAAAATGCTATAATACTAGGATACAAGAATACGTTCAACAAAGTATCAAATTGCGGCTTACCTTGATCGATATATTGACGATTAATAATAAAATTATGGTCTTGTCAGTAACTAACTAATAACAACTGATAACTACTCGGTTTCTAACTTATAAATACAGATGTAGTTCGGCAGCACGGCACGGCACGGACTAAGCAGGTTCACTCTTGCAACTTACGACTAAGCACGTCGCCGGAGCTGCGCCCAATGTTGCCAAATCATGCATTCGATATTCGTTTCACTGAGGCCGCCATTTGTTGAATCGATTGGTGACCACTATGTTCGGTTCAACGATTTTGACCCACACTAACTTTTTACCCCCAAAAATTCCACTTTTACCCCATTTTGGGTAATTTACCCCGGTTCCCCGACCACTGTTTTAGACCCACTTTATAAGAACTGCTACAAAACATAGCCTTGCCATATCATTGGTCAATTTTACAGCAGAATCGGCCCCTTAATCTGATATGGTTATGGAAAATTAAATGTGGGCATGTTTTATTATTGATAGCGCAAAGTGTGTTCGTTTGTTTGAAAAGATTTTTTCATTCAATAATATATTACATAAAAGACCTGTGAGTAATTAAGATTTTGTATACCTATCTTATGACAGTAATACAATTAATTATTAAATAATCTTTTGAAACATTATTGATAATACAAATTAAATAAATTGAATTATTTAAGGGAAAAAATCACAAAAACCATATTAAAATGTTAATTCACTTAAGCGCAAAGCATGTTCTTGAATTGAATTTTAGTTAAGGGGTTACACCACTGTAACAGCCTAAATAAACGTATGTTTTTGCCATTTTTTTCGGGCGGAAGAAAATGTAATTAAATCATGATATTAAAGAAATTTATTTATTGTACTTTAAAGTAACAAAATAAAATATAATTGTAAAAAAAATTAAAAACGACGTCACCACAGCCATTTCGGCGAGCCGCGTCAAACTCGAGGCGCTCCGCGGCACGCAAATTAACTACAACAATTTTAATTTTTTTTATTCGAATTTTCAAAAGTATATTTAGAATAACATTTTTAAGTGCCCATCGTAGCGGATTTGAAAAATATCGATTTTTGTTCTTTTGGCAAGCACTTTATTCAAAATCGTTGAATTTCAACGAAATAAAACGGATAGTAATTTGTTAATAATTAATGAACAAATTAACATATAGAAAATCTCCTATGATGGGCACTCAAAAATGTGATTCTAAATATACTGTGAAAAAATCGAATAAAAATAGTTCAAATAGTTGTAGTTATTTTGCGTGCCGCGTTGTAAAATCGTGTTTCGAGAAAAACGCGTTTAAAGTTTTGAAATAAATTATAGATAAGAAAAAAAAATATCAGTTTAATATTTTTTACTATTAATCTGATATCCCAGCAACATACGGATGCTTTTTTATAATTTTTATAATTTTTTTCTTATTTTCTTCCTTTGATGATTTTATATCAGGGCGTCCTACATTTGGCACATCCGTCAAAGACCGTTCGGCATGCTTAAGACGTTCATAATAGACTTTAAGATAAAAATTACATGTTTAGATGCCAATATTAATCTCCAAAACTATTTTCAATTATAAAATATTGATTAGACCATCGTTGAAATTATTCCTAGCAATATCAGCCGCAATATAGTCAACACTTATATGTGTTGACTCTGCACTGATCATCTATTGATTAAAAATGCTTTTACAGTTTATTAATGCAATATAAATGTTTAATAATAACATATATTGGTATATTTAAGAAGATACACGTTATCATTTTTCTTTATAATAATTTTAACTTCCCGTAGGGTAAATTATAGTAATCGCAAAAAAATCGAAAATGAAAATTTTTATATATCTTTACGTTTCGTAGGTTTCTGAATATTCTGGCACACCTTAGAAAAAATGGATGTATGTATGTGTGTATGTGTGTGTGCGTGTGTGTATGTGTGTTCGGATACAAATTTTCGTCGATGATTTCAGGAACACGGATGAAGCGATTTGAATAATTCAAAAAACATTCGATTCGTATTGATAAGGAGACGTGCTGATTAGTTTTTGGCAAAGGCAGGTCTAGCACATTTTTTTTACTTTTTTCGTTAGATCTCCGAGACCTGCTCTCATGAAAACTTGAGCAATTCTTCATCTTGTCCATACAAGTAAAATGTTTTTTGAATTATTAAAATCGGACGTTCAGTTCTCTTAAAAGCTGAACTACCGTATCTTGAAAACGGCTAGACCTGCCTTCGCCAAAAACTACTACATTATATATATATATATATATATATATATATATATATACAGGGCCGGTCCTGGGGTCCTTAGCGCCCGCATGCAACTTTTTTTCTAGCGCCCCCCCCCCCCTATTAATTTTCACCGTTTTAACAGTTTATCATTAAAATTATATAAATATTTACATATTTTTTTAAAATTAATTTTTAATTATTCTGATAGTACACAAAAAATTAGATATAATCCAGAAGGCTATAAAATATATTGATTTTAAATTTATTTATTATTATCGATATCAATAAATAAAACAATCTTTGCAATAATTTCACTTTTTAGTAATATTCAATATGTAGTAATTTGATTAAGGACGTAAGTTCGACTACCATAGCAAAAGAATTAATATTTTTGTTAGATTAAAGTTATAGAATTTAAGAAATGCATTTCATAAATAGTATTTACTATTTTGATATGAAGATCTTTATATCAAAATAATAAATACTATTTCTGAAATGCATTTCTTAAATTCTATAACTTTAATTTAACAAAAATAATAAGTGAAATAAATAAATTAATTTTTAATTATTCTGGATTTAGTGCACAAAAAATTAGATATAATCTAAAAGCGTATAAAATATATTGATTTTAAATTTATTTAGAAAATCGAGGCAATTCGGGTGTTGATTATAATCAAGTATTTTGAAATATTCAATTATTTTTAACGTTTGTGCAATATTAATATTTAAAAAAAACTAGCATTTAATTTTCAAACATAACACTTGTATTTTATGTTGGACTTTTTTTAACTTCCCGTAGGGCAAGTTATAGTAATCGCAAAAAAATCGAAAATGAAAATTTTTATATATCTTTACGTTTCAAAGGTTTCTGATCATTTTGGCATACCTTAGAAAAAATGGATGTATGTGTGTGTGTGTGTGTGTGTGTGTGTGTGTGTGTATGTATGTATGTATGTGCGTGTGTGTATGTATGTGCGGATACAAATTTTCGTCGACGATTTCGGGAACACGGATCAACCGATTTGAATAATTCAAAAAGCATTCGATTCGTATTGATAAGGAGACGTGCTGATTAGTTTTTGGCGAAGGCAGGTCCAGCCGTTCCAAAGATACGGGGCAAAAAGTGCCGAAAACGGCAACTCAGTTTTTAAGAGAACGGAGCGTCCGATTTTAATAATTCAAAAAAAAATTTAACTTGTATTGACAAGATAAAGAATTGATCAAATTTTCATGAAGGCAGGTCTAGCGGTTTCGGAGATCTAATGATAAAAGTAAAAAAAAATGCCATTTGGCGGTCAAAAATGATCATTAGACATATGCACATCAAATTATCAGATATTTTATAAAGATTTTAACAATAAGTATATTTTTTTTTTACATTTTTATGGGTTCCGTACCAATGCTTATCCGTTAGACGGCGGCGCGGCAGTTGCGCGCTTTGACATTTTGTCTCTATGCAGAATAAAGCAGTACGATTGCTTTGAAAAACAGTTCAGAATTTCCAAAGTATGTCAAAATGAAAAAAACATATTTTTTTCAAAAAAATTTTGTTTTCAAAAAAAATTTTTTTTTTCAAAAAAAGTAATTTTTGTCAAATTTATAGTTTCTCTCTAATTTTTTCGAAGTAAATTTTTTTCAAAAATGTTAATCATTTTTAAAAAAATAATAATTTTTGGTACGGGAAGTTCCAGCAATTTGCCTTAAGGCACGATGCCTTAATTGCCTTAAGACAGAATTCCACTTACAGCTAGTTAAATTTTAATTCAATTTAATTGTTCATCATTTACAATATCCAAAATTGCGTCGTAAACTTCTCCTTATTGATATCGTAAGAGCCGTCATATTCAGAGTATCAGCTTATTGTTTTAAAGTTAAATTTTTAGCGTATTTTAGAAGTATTATTCAAAAATCAGTAAAAAAATGCAAAGAAATTACACATTTCTTGAACAATATTGAAAAAAAAACTTATTATATTTGATATGTATTATTTCTGTATAGTTAACAATTATTAAATTTAGAGTATGGGCACCACTAGGTATAAAACAAGCCTTAAGATTTTCGTTCCAAAGTAAATTTTGCTTACATTTTTAATATTTGTTCCACGCATTTCTTCAACATTCAAAGTTCAACAGATGCGAAACATTTGCAACAAAAGCAAAAGTTACAATTCAATTTTCGTCAATAATGCCCAACAACTAATTTAATCTTTCGCAGGTTTGCGCTTATGGGATTGAACACTAGATCATTTCTTTTTTGATTCCACGGTAACTTCAAACAAAGAAAAAATTGAATAAGTAGAGTAAGCAATAAACAGAGCTGTTATTTACTAATTTGCAGAATTATTAATCGTTTAATTGTTTCTACTGATATCACATTGCAAAATAAATATGCTTTTTGTGTTTCCGTATCCCTAGTTAAGTTAAATTATTTATTATAATTTATTAAGTATTCTAGATTTTAAATAAATAATTCTAGATTTTATATAAAAAAATATAAATATTATATTATAAATTTAATTTCCGAAACTCGTTTTGGCGCCCCCTAAGGCTTGCGCCCGCATTTTTTGCATGCATTGCATGCAAGGCAGGACCGGCCCTGTATGTATATATATATTATGGTGGTCCTTAATATGGATATTTTCGAATTTCCTTGCTCCCAAAGGCTCAAATGGTTCCAAATTGATAAAAAACAATTCTCTCAAGGTTTTAGCTTTTAATATTGTTTTTTAGATAGTGCGCAATTCAATCAAAGATTTGTATGAAAATAGCATGAAAAAATTTTCAAAAATTTTAAAAATGTTTTTAAATATAATTTAGCAAACAAATGAATGAGTTTTATTTTTATTTTGTCGCTAAGTTATACCTAAATTTTTTTTAAAAAATTTCAAAATTTTTTCCATGCTATTTCCATACGAAGTTTGATTGAATTGCGCACTAGCTCAAACTTTCAGAGAATTGTTTTTTATCAATTTGGAACCATTAAGGAC